AAAAGAAACAAAACAATTAAAGGAAAAGTTTTCGGTTGCTTGATGATGAGAATTGTATAATGGGTCGGTTGAGCGCCGAGATTCGATGAAAGTATGGAAGGAAGTAGCTTTCCCAAAAGTGCAATCTTAAGGTCAGTACCTATAAGGAGTGAGAGGCTGAAAGCAGATGAGAAAGGTCCTGGTTTTCCACATTTGAACCTACTAACAACAACTTTCAGGGGATACAGTAGCATTTGTCATCGCAGATGAATCAGTGGCTAAGGTGTATGGCTTCTTTCTTCACCGCTTAGGTTTTTCATTATTGAATATTTTGGGGAAGTAGCAATATTCCGATTCCTTCGTTGGGAATCACCGAAGGCAGGCGTAAAAAAAAATTAAATAAAGAGTAGAAGAAGAAAAAACGAGAGAGGGAGAGAGAGATATAGAGAGAGAGAGAGAGAGTGGGGGATATAAAATTCAATAAGTTAGGTAATAAATCCCAATAAATCAGTCTTAGTAATTTTACAAATAAAAATGATAGTCTCGTAGGAATGCAATAAAAGTTCTGTTGTATCGTGTCAAGAGTAATTTTCTCATAACTATATTCATATTTGTCTGGATTCTGGAAGGACTGGATTTCACAAAAAAATAGATCGAGTGGACTGGACTTGCATATCGAGTGGCATTTCTACGGCTGTTAGTGGGTCTTACAATGAAAGCCCAATAAAAAAGACCTAACTGGGCTAAGAAAATGACCCACAATTTAACATTGAGTGTATCACGTTCTTTGAACTCAAGTTCATTTCTAGCAGGCTAGTAGCACACATCCGTTACATACTGCACATAGATATATTTCTCAGTAAATTTTTTTCCAACTCATGTATAAGTACTCCTAATGTTTATGTTTACATTATTGGAACCAATTTGACAAGTAACCAATTACTCACACAGATAATCATTCCAATCAGCTAGCCAATATACTTTATTTATGAATTTATGATGTGCATAGGAAATTCAACACAGTTCACATGAGTTTCAAAATCACAAGATTACACACTTACAGACATTTGTACGAGTGCTGTAATCATGTGGTGATGATAGTGTGTCATCTTTCATAAATAGAAATTTGTTTTGATAGATACTAGTACGTACCCCGTGCGATGCACGGGACAAAAATATTAAATGAGTTATTTTTACTGTCTTTGTCCTGTAAGTGTATAAAGCAATAGGGTTATCATCTATTTTTCACCTCTTTTAAGCAGCATTAAGCGTAAAAAAGCAATAAGGTTATAATCTATTTTGCATATCTTTTAATCAGCGTGGTTTTTTTTTAGTCAAAAGAATAAATATGAGCATGTTAGGGCTAGCTTGTAAAATAATTAATATATTATCTCACTAACACATTTATACTAATATAAATTTAATTTTAGTATATATATTTATTCCAAAAGAGAACAACAATTTTACTTATTCTTGTTCACCATATAATACTTAATTATTATTTTATTATAAATTTTATTGTCATATAATGTCATTATTATTTATAAAGTTATAGAAGTTGTACGTCTTCTTTTTCTTTTTATTTTATGTAATAAAAAAATTTAATGTACGTTAGTATTATTTATTTACGTAATCAATTTAAAATATGTAAATAAATTTAAAAATAAATATAGTGTAAATAATTTACAAAATATACACATGTTTTTTTAGAATTTAATTTTGTATACTAATTAAACAACTTTTGACTTAGAAAATGCCAAAAACTCAATTTCTTCTATGATCAAGATTTTTCTAATTCGCACTATGAGGATTTATAGTTTATTTAGTATACTCTGCAATGAAAATTTATTTTACAATAATTTAATTATAGAAATAAATCAAAATAAAAAAAAAAGTAATCATGGGTGCCAATAATATACAAATAAATTATAAAAAATAGTTAATATATTTCAATTTTAATTTTTTTACCATTAGTAAAACTATTTAATGTATATGATCATTATCTTTTAAATAGTAAATTATATTAATTTGAAGAACAATTTATTTTTTATATTTTACAAAATAAAGCTTAAGAAAAAAATATATTGGCAAAGACTAATTCACCAACTTCATTTTGTCTGATTAATTGGAAAAATAATTCTACCTAACCTATTACGATTTTCCATAAATATTTTTGGATAAAAAGTGAATATTTGTGAAAAAATTATATTATGGTTAGAACTTAAAATATGGTGTAATATTTATCTTGACCAAAATATTATCAACATGGATCATGGAAATCAATCTTGTAATTTATTATAATGAATATCAATGAAAGTATTATAAATATTAACAAAATAATATTTATCTTGACCAAAATATTATCAACATGGATCTTGGAAAATCAATCTTTAAATTTATCGTAATAAATATCAATGAAAGTATTACAAATATTAATAAATTTATTTAAATAATTTTTATGATCATATCTTATTTGAAAACGTGTATATGAAAGTTATTAATGTATATATTTAAAAAGTTTCCAAACATAGTATACATTAAATGTTTCCTAAATTTTTGGTTACTATTTTTAGTAAATAGTAATTCTTATTATATATATATAGACTAGCGCATAGCCCGTGCGATGCACGGGATGGTATATTTTCCTGAAATGTTTAACGTGTGAAATATTAAAAATAATATAATTTATATATATGTAATAAAAATAAATAGATTGCAAAGAAGGAAAAAAAATATAAATTATTGAACACTTTCTTTGTGAAGTAAAATTTGTGAAGGTTTGGTATATTTGATTATGAATAGAAAAGTATGAAATACTACCTGCGGACCGTTGAGATAGATGAGAAGATTTACTTAGAATATATAGAATAAATATTGAGATAATGATTTACCTTTTACCTAGTATAGATAAAATAAATATTGACATGATGTGGGAAAATTATGACGAATTATGACATAAATTCGTTTAGAAAATATTCAAAAATTAGATTTATTTTTTATTTTTTAAATCTTTACAGTAATTCGTACGTTCCTTTTCATACGCTTAATTTATCAATTTTACACATACAAATCAAAATTAATGCAACTCGAAATATTATATAACAAATAAAATGAGATTTTTATCTAACATTTAGTATATTGCCGGAAAATTTTTTATAAATCTTATTCTCTTTTTATGCACATAGATATTAAAGAATGAGTAAAAAAAATATCTAAATATGTTTAAAAGTATCTAATATTATATGTGTTAACAGTGTTACAACCAAAAGACATTAAGAATACGCAGACTATTATATAACATATGTGAAAGTATTAAAATATTTTATATTATTATTGAAAAATGTGAAATTACCTCAATTTTGTCTAGACTATTTTATAAGAAAAATATATATACTTAAAGTTAGCACACACATATATATATATCCTTAAAATTTGCCCAACTAACATGTTTAAAAGTATATAAAATTTTATATATAAAATACGTTTAAAGTTTACATATTTTACAAAAATTAGACTGCTCTCAGTTTATATAAAGTTTGTTGCTCTCATATTCGGATAATGTATTATGCATTTAATGAAAGCACCTACGATACAAATTTATAAATATTAATTAAAATAATTTTCTAAATTATATAAAATTGAAATAACAAAGGTAAATATTACCTGTTCATCGTGAAAATGCGTTACAGCTCTCCCGTTCGTGATGGGTTTCAATAATGCGGACTGCTCTCAGACACAAAAAAGGTTTGTTATAAATATTAATTAAAATAATTTTCTAAATTATATAAAATTGAAATAACAAAGGTAAATATTACCTGTTCATCATGAAAATGCGTTACAGCTCTCCCATTCGTGATGGGTTTGAATAATGCGGACTGCTCGTGATGGGTTTCAATAATGCGGACTGCTCTCAGACGCAAAAAAAGGTTTGTTATAAATATTAATTAAAATAATTTTCTAAATTATATAAAATTGAAATAACAAAGGTAAATATTACCTGTTCATCATGAAAATGCGTTACAGCTCTCCCGTTCGTGATGGGTTTCAATAATGCGGACTGCTCTCAGACACAAAAAAGGTTTGTTATAAATATTAATTAAAATAATTTTCTAAATTATATAAAATTGAAATAACAAAGGTAAATATTACCTGTTCATCATGAAAATGCGTTACAGCTCTCCCGTTCGTGATGGGTTTGAATAATGCGGACTGCTCTCAGACACAAAAAAGGTTTGTTATAAATATTAATTAAAATAATTTTCTAAATTATATAAAATTGAAATAACAAAGGTAAATATTACCTGTTCATCATGAAAATGCGTTACAGCTCTCCCGTTCGTGATGGGTTTGAATAATGCGGACTGCTCTCCCGTTCGTGATGGGTTTCAATAATGCGGACTGCTATCAGACGCAAAAAAGGTTTGTTATAAATATTAATTAAAATAATTTTCTAAATTATATAAAATTGAAATAACAAAGGTAAATATTACCTGTTCATCATGAAAATGCGTTATAGCTCTCCCGTTCGTGAAGGGTTTCAATAATGCGGACGCAAAAAAAAAGGTTTGTTTCTTTTGTTAACGTACCCCAGTCTGGAAGCATTATATATCAAGTGTACCCCAGCCTGCTCGTGATGGGTTTCAATAATGCGGACTGCTCTCAGACGCAAAAAAAAGTTTGTTATAAATATTAATTAAAATAATTTTCTAAATTATATAAAATTGAAATAACAAAGGTAAATATTACCTGTTCATCATGAAAATGCGTTACAACTCTCCCGTTCGTGATGAGTTTCAATAATGCGGACTGCTCTCTCGTTCGTGATGGGTTTCAATAATGCGGACGGCTCTCAGACGCAAAAAAGGTTTGTTATAAATATTAATTAAAATAATTTTCTAAATTATATAAATTTGAAATAACAAAGGTAAATATTACCTGTTCATCATGAAAATGCGTTATAGCTGCCCCGTTCCTGATGGGTTTCAATAATGCGGAATAGCTGCCCTGTTCCTAAAAATAAGGAAAGATTTTAGCCATTTATTTCAAAAACGTGTGAATAGCCTAATCCTAAAAATAAGGAAAGATTTTAGCCATTAATTTAAAAAACGATCCTAAAAATAAGGAAAGATTTTAGCCATTTATTTCAAAAACGTGTGAATAGCGGGTGAATGAGTTGTAGGATGTTTAAATTGGCTTTTTAAAATAGTTGCTATATTCAGAAAATAAAAAAGGTTGACTGCAAGGTTTTTAAAACTTTCCTAAAAGGATTTTTCTACCTCTCTTTTTCAATATATATAGATTAGCTTAATGCAGGTTTTTAATATATCTGGTTAATAATGCTTAATTAATTATTGGTCAAACCATTTAACTAGAGTCATTTAATCCACAACAAATGCATTATTTGGCCTATTTTTCCCCACCTCACCAACCAAAAGACAGGCTCGTTGACATATTAATCCTAATTAATGAGTTACAACTCATCTATATCTTAATTTTATATTTAATTGAACTAATTAAGCAGTACGTTTGCTCCACGGACTAAGATTAAAATACTAAGGGTGTGATTGTTTATAAATTTAACAAAAAAAAAAAAAGTCAATCAAAACTCAAATTTAACTCAAATTTTACTCTATCTCGCTATCCTCACTATAATTAAATAATATCAATCAATCAATCTTACACATCACATCAACTAATTCATTATTCATTCACTTACATAAATTTAACTAATCATCACTTTCAATTATTTTTCTCCTACTTTTACATCTAATCAAATTTAATTATTTTATTTTAAATAATATTTTAATTAAACTTACATTCCCACTAACAACTAATCATACCACATTTTTTAAATTAATTATAGTAAAAAAAATCAAATCCATATCCAATCACAAAATTGCCAATCCAAGTACAGTGGTTAGGTTAGTTACAAATCCACTAAATCCCACTAAAATAATTATATTTTGTTGTAATATATTTAAGCTGCTACTTGTGGACTATGATTGGGGGTTGACTACAAAATTCCTCTTGACAAATTATCATTAAAAAAAAAAAAATAACGTTTAGTGTTTGTTTGTTGCACATGCATGCGCCTCACGTATTTTTTCGATCAACATGTTTTGACAATTTTTGCTACTTTCAAGCAATTTGTTCTTAAAAAATACCTTTTGAAAAAATTCATGAATTTTGTCATTTGATGAAAATTAAAAGAAAGGATATTAGACTTTGATAGGATAATATGATTTATATCCTTTTGAATAAATAAAGAAGAAGAAAAAGCGACTATATACAGACTGTACACGATAAATGTATTTATACAGTACGCATGCATGTTTAAGGAATTAAAGACCCTTTACTTTTTATTTATAGTCTTTGGGCAAGCAATGAGACAGTTCATAAGCTATATTTTCATCATTTAAGTCTTAGATTAATGAGCATTTAAAAAAAACATACTATTAATTAGTTGATTCAATGCTAAAATACTCGATTATCCTCTTCACTAATAAATCCAAACTTGTCATTATTTTCATTTTGTCTCCTTACACTAGTTACAATGAGAAAAAAAAATATTGAAGGGTTATTAATTTCTTCTTAAAACTGGATTAATTCCCAGCAACAAAATGGTCCCAAAACTTTTAAAAATAATCAATGCGCTATGTCACCTGTCATCGGATTTTACTTTATATCTAACAGGCAATAAGCAATGAGCAGTACCTTTAATTTAATTTTATCGTACTGTACATTCAAAAATCTCATTTTATTTTTATATACAACATCAAAATATTAGTAGAATAAATAATTAGAACTGTCAATCTTAAAAATTATATGCTCAACTATGTGAAAAAACAATCACAAACATTTAAATTAAGAAAAAAAAAACTTCCAAAATCCAAACCAATTCTTATCAACATAAGTAGGTACTTTCATACACAGGAAGTTCCTCGCAAAATTCGTAATTGCCAAACAAGGCCTTATTATCGAGCTCGAATAAATCCGAACTCGAATCACTAAAGTCATCATCGTCATCCACATCGCCATCCATCTCGACTTCATCGTTCTTACTCTTAACAAAATCACGTTTCGAAGCCTCTTCGATTTTCCCATTTTGCCCCCCAATCCTCACCCTCAACTCCTCCACTCCGGCAGTGTTCATCGGTAGTGGCGGTTTTACAAATTTACCCCTCTCCGAAAAAACGGGCACGCTCTTAACTTGACCCGACTCTCGAAATCTAACCGTCCGTGCCGGATTTTTCAACACGTCCTCTTGGCATTTTTCGACTTTCTTCGACTTCTTCTCCCTCGAGCCCGCGAAAATCGAGCTGATGAAGCTCGTTAGCCTGCCACCTGGCGAGATCGGCTGCTTCACTTTCTTCAAACCGGCGTAGACTCTGTGGGGCATCGATTTCGGCTTCACGAAAACCGAGTCATCCTCGGTTTTGTTCCTCCGACTAATTTGGCGCTCGTCGAATAGGAAACAGTTGGAGACTTTCGACCTTGTCCGGAAAAACTCGGTGTCGGAAAATGCGCAGGAGCTGTCGGAAGAGCTAGAATTTGTCGAGCTGTGGAAAAACGAGTCCTCGATTAATGCCGGTTTTCTTCTGGCTTCGCCTTTCTCCTTGGCTTTCGGGTTGATATTTTTTCTTGTAGGCATTCGATCGAGCGCCTTTGGCTCGTTCGATTTTCGACCGTCGATCGAGCAGTAGATTTCGTCCAGAAGGATGGAGGAAAACGACGGCGTATTCCTGTGTGTTTTTCTGTGATTTTGTGGTTTTTGATCCATGATGTACATTTTGTTTTTCTGACACAATTTGAAACTCAAGTTTTTTCACGTTTTGTGAATGAACAATGAAAGGGGACTTTGAATGTGAGACAAAACAGAGGAAGTAGTATATGTAGAAGGCTCAAGGGCGTGTTTGGCAGGTGAACAAAATTACAATCGTGTTTCCAACATAAAGTTAAATAATAGATTTAAATAGGACAAGAATGAACAGCTTAATAAAAAATAGCTATTTAATAGTCATAAATAATTTTTATGATTATCAATTGCCACCTAAAAAAGGGACATTACAACTTACAAGTAACATGGGGGAAGTCCTATGCATGCACGTAAAATATATATAGAATTTGTGGAAAAACGTAGTCCAATTTAATTGCAAGGGAACGAGTGGATTATGATATATAATTATATGTTGTGTGGGGACTTAGTTAAGAAACTGGTTTAAGAGTAATCAAAAGTGGCTGTTTAGTGGGATGCAATTACGTACGGGATCAGTTCCTAATTGTATACTAATAGCAGGTTGTTGTAAGCTAAACAACATAGTTTTTGGTGAAAAAAAAAAATAAAAAACAAATTTAAACTAGAACTAATAAAACTTTGAAACTCAAAATTAAGAGTTTTTAAATGAAACAAAACACTCTTGAAAGCTCAACTCGAGTTTGGCTTTAACTCATTAATTTGATAATTGACCCGATCGCTCAAGCTCGTTGGGTTTAGCCAACGAGTCGAACTTAATATGATTGTTTTGCATAATTTGTAGAGAATTAATATAATTCATATGCTCGTTATCTCAACATCTCAGCTCTGTTTCAGTATGAGAAATTCAAGCTCGACTTAACTAGTTTATAGCTCTAGTCAAAATCACGTTTTGAGAATATCTTAAACTAAAAAATGAATTGCCAAATTTAAGGTGAATTCGATGCAGAAGAAAAGATTTAAATAATTCTTAAACAAATTTTCAGAAGTATTTTATGGTCTCAACTTTGGAGCAAGAGGCGTGAAACCAGTTGCAGGCGGTAGGGGTGTTCACGGTCTGGTTTTAACCGAAAAAAACCGTTAATCCGGACCGCAGATCGGTTAAATGGTCAGTTAAAAAAGCCTTAAAAAATCCGGTAGTTAATTTTTTTAAAAATCCGGAATAACCGGTCCGCTTAACGGATTACCTGCGGCAAACCGCCGGTTTAACCGGACCGGACCGGTAAATATTAAAAAACTATAACAAATATATATATACATTCAGTCATTCACTATGGCCGACAAATACAATACATTCACTATGAATGCTTTGCTCTTATTATTTCAGGTGTATAAACTGACTGAAAAATGAATGTTTGCTTGAGTTCAGTTTGCATAATTAATCTTCATCATTTTTGAATTTTTATGTTTATGGGAGGAAATGTGCATTTTTATGCTTATGAGACAAATTGTGTACTTTTTATTTCATTATTGTTGTTTTTCTTAATTTTTAAGCCAAAATAATCTCTTTAGGACCCAAAATTGAAAAACAAAAATTAAGCCCAAAATAAAAAAAATAAAAATTGAAGGCCCAAAACAAGTTTTGGATTTAACCGGTTAACCGCCAAACCGGACCGTCCAATGCGGTCCGGATTGTGGTCGGTTAAAAAATAAAATCGGTCCGGTTATGGACAAGAAAAAAAATTAACCGTTAGGTCCGGTTTGGTCATGGTTTGGGCTAAAACCGGACCAATCCGGACCGTGAACACCCCTAGCAGGCGGCACGTACGTGGATATGACATTTCATAAGTTGGACCAAATTGCTGACAACAGCAGTCTCGTAGCAATTTAAAAATAATAATAAAAAAATTATTGATAATATAAAAAATAAACAATTACTTACTTAATACAACACAAGATAAAACTATTTAATTAGCAATAACACCACCTTGCACCTTACTCCATTTGTTCTAACTCGATTGACTGTAAAGCCCACCTCTTTTTTATAAATAACAAAGAAAACTAATGATAAGACCCCCCTTATTTGATCTACCTTGATTCATTTAGTGAAAGAAAAAAAAAATAAGAGATCAAAAGTGAAAAAAAAATAAAGGTTCGTTTGCACTTTAAAGCTTTAGGTGATTTGTACTGTAGCAATCAAGCGTGAAAACTAAAAAACAGAAAAGAGTTGCCCTTTATTCTTGCTAGTTAGTGACTGCACAGAGTAAGGATAGATTGTGAATGATATGCAAAGTTGCAGATCCCAAGGGCAAACAAAGTCCCAATCAAGATAGGTAGATTGAGAATTCAATCTACTTGTGATCCAGTTTTTCACCTTTCGATATCAAAACAGTGAAAAATCCAATCGGGCTTTTCTTTCACCTTTCGATATCAAAACAGTGAAAAATCCAATTGGGTTTTTCACCTTTCGATCAACACATAGTCGANAAAATCAATACTGCATTGTAGTCGCCTCACACGGTCGAATTTTCCCCCATTCAAAATAGTATAAGATTTTCATAATTGTGAGGAGATATTATTGCACTATTTGCTTTTTGGTTACTAATATTATTATTATTAATATTATTTTTTGGTGGGGTTTCAAGACAAAAGCTCCATAGATTATTGACAAGCAATTGTCCTGCACTCACTTTTTAGTGTATTCCAAAGAGCAAAGCATGCGGCCATTGCATAGATATGAGCGTGTGCTTGAAGACAAGTTCACTTTTGTCCCACACCACAAATCTTTGTTCCTCTAATCCATCAGCTTTGTGTTTGGGAATTATTACAAGCTGCATTTTGATTCAAATATAGTGGAAAAATAAAGGAATTCAAGAGAATACTATAAGATAAATGAAACTTTTATGAAGTTCTCAAGGCTGGATTTCGGTTTATTAAGGAAACAAGGAGTGTACACTCAAGGGTAATGAAATTGCTTACAAATAGATGTTGTTTTTTATTTATCTATTTTTTTTTATTTTTTTTTTGTTTATTAGCATTCACTCTGATTTTCCCAATCTCTGGACATCCACCAACTGGTAAAGGTCGCCTCGCCTTTGCTTCTCTAGCGGCAGGTTTGTTCTGTAGCCAATAGAAAACGAAATATAAGACTCGAGTAGCCTCCAAAACCCGTATGTTAATCAACCATAGCAGTTAATATTTATTAACTATCCATATAGAGCTTAATTCGATATGTTTCACCTCCTGAGCTCTATCTGTGAATAGTCAATTTCTGAGATAATAATCGCCTCATCGTGCTCGGTAGTTGCCAACACTTCTCCAAACTATCCAAATCGAAACCAAATGATTAGTTAATCAATAACAACAGGAAATGTATGAATTAGTTTCAAATTATTTCTCGATTTATATATGTTATTGACTTACAGGACCAATGAGTGTAGAATGGCCCCATGCAACGTACCCAGCACCAGCATCTCGAGCAGGAGAACAACTCGCTACATATAACTGCCAATTTTTTTTGTCAATAAACAAACTCCTAATTGTAATTCGAGGTCTTTATCTGCTCTGACTGTTTTGAAGTCTTACCGGATAACAAAAAAAATAAAAAGAAATGGAAAATACCTGATTGTCCACGGCCCTGCATCAAGAGCGCGTATATAACATTAGATGATTTATTAAGGAGAAAAGCTTGATAAGTAAAATTAAAAGATTGAGACGTTGAATGCCAATAAATCCACTCATTTTGTGATTCATGTCAAATGTGACATGTTTAAAAAAGAAAAATCTACGTGATACAACGACCCAAATATTTCTAATTTTGAAAGAAAGCCAAGTCTCTTGATAGTTAGGCTTTCTGTATAGTTTTACATTTCCCCGTTTAACACTATATTACAATTCTATTTGACAATGTACCACCTGACATGACATGGTTTCTAAGCTGATAATTAAAGTGAAAAAAAAATATAAAAATCTATGCGTGCAACTAGGAATTTCAGAACATGAAAGAAGTGTATCTGGTAAGTTCATTAAAATTACCGTGCCCTTTGCAGTAACTCCCAGTGCAAAGGTCCTGTAGTCATGTTGAATGCTCCAGGATAACAAATCAACTGAGCACCTACCGATGAAAATTTTTACCCCCATCAGCAAGAACTTGTAACAATAATCAGTAACTCAGTTGGAAAATTATGAATCTTGCAACACATAGCACGAAACAACTTTTAATGATACCACCGCCAATTGGTAACAATCCCACCAAACAAAGAATTGAGAGAGAAGTTTCAAATAAGATGTTGGAGAGTATTAAAGAAACCAAAGTAGAATTTATACCTCTTGCTGCATAGATCATAGCCAGTTCCTGAAATCTAATGTCATAGCAGATGCCAATTCCAATTCGGCCAACCTCTGCACAAAACAAATACAACTCCTTGTTGAAGAACTCAATTAAGTCAACATTTCGCAAACAAATTGAAGAACTCAATATAACAAATATCCCAAAGAAAGATACTATTATACGATAATGAATGACACAATGATAATTTGTTGTTGGTACATAAATTCATCCAATGGTTTAGTTTCATTGTCAGTTGACTATGATACAGTCAAAATTTCAAACTGCACCCATATTCCACAAACCATACTACTCATATTGAGAAAGTAAAGGAAAAAAGTATTTCAAAGAACCATCATTCTCAAGTATCGAGTCCATAAAATACATATACCTGTGTCTACCGTGGTAGGAGTCTCCCCAGCTGTAAGAGTCTTTGACTCCTTGAAGGTGATCTTACCAGGAATGTCAATATCAAATAGGTGTATCTGTATTCAGATGTTCAAAACTGAAAAATTAGTTGAAACGCAAATAAATCTTTATCTTTCCTCATCAATTCGAGATTGTTGCAGCAAAATCATCAAATAAATGCACTCACAAACTCAAACTCTTCAAGAGCACCAGTTTATTACATGCATCAGTTTAGATACGGTCCTAAAATTAATAACCCAATAAAACAAATTAAATTTCATGAAACTATTAATTAGTGAAAGACTGCAAGGTAGCTCACAATATCCAGTGATCTTTTTCAGATACCATGCAGAATAATCCTGATTTCAATTTTTTTTCCTCAATTAACGTTGAATCAAATTTCGGAAAAGCCAAATATCTTACACTACAGAGAACTTAAATCTAGGCTGCGAATGAAAAATTTCAGGACTTTCTGGTTATTTTATGATGAACAGTGAACAATAAGAAATCAAAACATCCGAAGTGACCTTGCGATGTTTAGCTTTAAGCTTTCCATCCGATCCAAAAACACAACACGTGTTGTACAGCTTATCGCCAGTCCTTTCTGGTATTGAACCTCCAATAATTGTGATATTGAGGAGACGCGCAACTTCAGACAACATTGCCGTGGATGGTGATGTATCAAAACCAGCATCTATATCCTCAGCATATAGTGGGAAGCTATCATTTGAATAAGGACTGTTCCATATTTCCTGATGAAAGAAAAAAGCTAATAATGAATCTAAATATTATCACTCCTCTCGCTACGCGGTAAGGTATATGAATCCAAAATCCAGAAAAAACAGAACCATTTAAGAAAAAAAAAACACTGTGGTTTCTGCATACATACTATCGTTTACGATAACATGATAAAAATGAAATTCTTGATTCAAGAAATTGGGATCTCTCTATGCAAGTTGGTAGGATCAATTCTATATGAAAAAACTCTAGTTTGACATGGCTGAAACCATACTACATTCAGAGTTTATAAAGCTGAAATAAGAGAACTGTGGCACAGTTGAATCAGCAATTGCTCGCTTATATGCCCGAAAGTTATCCGACTAAAGCTTTTGATCATTTCAAATTTTCCTACAATCGATCATTCGTCATCATCCCCATGATCAAGAGATAAGCAAAGGCCACGAAAATACTTGTTCCGAACTCAACAACTACTTTCTGTATGTAAACGAGAGACTACTGAGACACCTCACAAACCAGATCATATGCCAAGAAAATCATCTTACAGGCAACACAACAAGCTTCGCCCCCTTTTCAGCAGCCTCCTCTATTGCAGTTCGCGCATGCAAGATATTCTTCTCTTTGTCAGCTGTCACTTTCAACTGGCACAATCCGATTTTAAACTACACAGAGATTGAAACAAAAAAAACAAGATTGAAACTTTATCACACAGAAGTACCCCAGAAGCTACGATGAACAAACAAAAACGCCCAAAACAAACATGCACACAAGGAGCGTTTAAGATTGCTTACCTTGGTGATGGGAGGAGCTGGCGACTGAACAGCTGGCGGCACTCGAGCTTTTTCCGGGTAGAAAGATGAAGCCATGGATGAAAAAGAAGCCGCGGCTGTAACTGTAGTACGAATTGACTTCGACCTTAAACCTTCAATTTCGGATGCAGATTTTTCGAGGCGTCGGAGAAATTGAGGGCGGAGAAGGACGGTGGGTGCAGGGAGCACGAGCAGACGAGAAAGACGATCGGAGAGTGTGCGAAGCCCGAGACGAAGGCTCATTCGTCCCCAATCTGATTCATTTTCTTCAGACACAAAAAACCAAAAAATAAAAATAAAAATTAAAAAAAAAAAGATTAAAAAAAGGCAAATAATCCGACACAAATGGTCCGGCCCCAATATGATTTGCTATTGTATGGGCTAGTTTGTTTCTTTGGTCCGACGGATTAATAATGGGTCGGCCTGGTCTCACTTAGATCCGGAAGGCAGGAAGTTTTGTATGTACTATGTATACATCAATTCCTAAATTCATTAAATATAAGATAAATATAATTATATCAATTACAATTTACAAGCACTCTCGAAATTTATAAATAATATATATATATATATATATTGATATTTGACGTATATTATAAAAATTGTAAAATTATATTAGTGATTAAATAAATACATTACAAGTAAATTTAACTGATATATATTACTAATTTTTACCCTTTGGTGGAAAATGAAGATATATCATGATCTACCACATAACTTACCATTGTAGATAGTGTTGGTGCACCAAATACTGAAATTCAATTATATGATTTTAGGAACTTCTATTTTATAAATCACAAGGTAATTCTTTAATGTTTTATTTTATCATGATTATTTAAAATAGTGATATGATTTTTGATTGGTCCTGAATAAAATTAGATGAAAATAAACAGCGTTGGATAAATAATTAAATATACTAGCGGAATGATAATAGTCAAATGAAATGCAGATGCATCCTTAAAATATAAAAATAAATAAACACTGTGGTTGGTCTTGTAAATTTCACATGTATACATGGATTCAAAATTCATAAATCAATACATACAACCCACCCTTGATGCATAATTGATTAGTTTTTAAATTAAATGCATAATTGAACATCAACTGAATACATAGTACCTGTGAGGCTTCTTTAGTTGATATTCCAATTGCTGGAGCAGGTTCCCCTTTGTCTTCTCTTGTTACCTGTAAATTTATTTACAAATGTCAAATAAGTGAGAAGTGCAACTTATTAGCTATCACATTAAATGCACACAGTACCTGTGAGGCTTCTTGATTTGATATACCAATTGCTGGAGCAGGTACACCTTTGTCCTCTCTTCTTACCTCCTGTATAATTTGGATTAAATAAGTAAGAAGTACAACTGATTAGCTATCCATAAATTGAACATTAACTGAGTACGTAGTACATAGTACCTTTGAGTTATTCACACTCCGACTTGAGTTTGGGTTCACAGCCTTCAATAATGGACACCCCTTCTTGTTGTGGCCTTCCATGGCAATATGAGCACTTACAGGTCACTTGTTGCCTTCTGATAGTTTTCTCTTTGGTCACAACCCTTACCTTCCCTCTTGGCCTTTTTCTAGTTTTGGGCTCATCTGGCTCCCTTCTTCTAGCCATACTTGGCCTGCCAGGTGTCCTACCTTCATTAGGGGGCAAAGGTGGTATGAAACCAGTAGGAGCCCACTCTTTCCTGCCATTGATAGGCATGACTACTGGTTCATATACTCTTTTGTAAGTGTCAACCTTGTAGCAAGAGTGAGTGAATTCTTCAACTGCCCAACCTTGCAGGTGCACAACACTTAGTGCAAGAAGGCAAGGAATTCCACTTAGTTGCCACTTTCTACACCCACAAGCGTGTGCCCTCATATCAACTTTATACTGCTCTCCATTGCCACAGTCAACCTGGAAATTGAAGTCATCAGCTTTCAGTGGAATACATTCCACCAAGTTATCAATTTGTTTATCAATGATCTGCTTAATCTTAGGGCACAAGGGAAATTTCCACTTATTTGCAGCCTTGTCCCTATTTTCTTGCATTCTTTTCATTAAGTACTTCATGATCCATTCCAGCATAGTTAAAATTGGTTCCTCCCTGGCCTCAAGAATGTTACAGTTGAAGGTCTCACATCCATTATTGAGTAGGATATCACACCTTGGGAATTCACTGAAATGAGACCTACTCCATTCAGTGGGTGGTTTACCAGCCAACCACTTGTAAGCTTCCACATCCAAATCCTTCAGATATTGCATTTTCCTGCTGAAATCATTTATTGTTGTGGCTGTGGCACATCTCCACACAGCATTTTTCAATGCTAATCCTTCGAACCCTGCATTTCTGAAATTCCCAAGCAAATGTCTAACACAAAATCGATGATCACAGTTAGGTAAAATGTTCTGGAATGCTTGTATTAAGCCTTTCTGTTTATCAGACATAAATGTCCACTCATGCTGATTCTTGATTTCCAAATCATTCTTAAGCAATATCAAAAACCATTCCCAGTTATCTGTATTATCTACATTAACAACTGCATATGCCAAGGGAAAAAGAGCATTATTAGGATCAATGCCCACAGCAGTAAGTAATATACCTTTATTAGGCCCTTTTAAATGGCAACCATCCACACCTACCAAGGGTCTACAGCCAGCCTTAAATCCTTGTCTTAGTGCATTTAGACATATGTAGAACCTCTGAAATATATTGTCACCATTGCACTGGTTAGTATCTAAAACTACAGTGCTCCCCGGATTTGTTTTTCTTATTTCCTCACAGTAGTCCTACAACAATGCATACTGAAAATGGGGTTCTCCCTTCTGATCTGCAATAGCTTTCAACTTGCATCTATATGCTTGTTGGTTGGAGATATGCACCCTAAGCTCTCTGGCTGCATGTTTTCTAAAACCACTAACCTTTCTTTTAGGATCATCTTGCCATTCAGTGGCATACTTCCCTGCCAACCAACTAGAGTTTAAATTTTTAACTCTTCCCGTGCCTGCACAAGTGTGCCTATGAATATACTTAATGATCTGAAATGTTGCCTCACCTACAAGTTTGACTGCATGAATTTTCCAAGTGCACAAATTATCACAACATTTTGCCCTCAGATACTGCTTATCATTCTTGACAATTTGAACATTTCTCTTGCATTTTATTGCTCTAGAATGAATAGCTATCCTCAGTTCTTTTTTTGAAGTAAACACCATTCCCACTTTAAAGCTGGGATCATACAACTCCAATAGATTAAAAGAAGGAAACTCTGGTTCACAATTACCATCTTCCTCATCAGAGTTGTTCTTACCATCTAAATTATCCCTGTAAACCATATCTGCTTCACAATCACTATCTTCCTCATTTTCAACGTAATTGTCCACAGCTTCAAACACAGATTCAGACCCTCCCCACTCAGCTTCACCATCAACATATTCAGAAAACAACCTATCATCTATTCTATCTTCAGTCATGTCATACTCTGAATCATACAACTCATCACTGTCATCATCTCCCTCACCATTCTCACCAACAACAACAACAACAACATACCCAGTATATTCCCAACACGTTGGGGTCTGGGGGGTCAGTTGTACGCAGACCTTACCCTTGTAATTATACAAGGAGGCTGTTTCCGTAGCGACTCAAGGTGCATTGCGCCGTTTGATATATTTTTTTTTCTAGAAACTTCACTAATAGAAGAAGCACTAGAATTTAATTGAGTCATTTTGATCTAGTCCATTATTAGCACTATGCCAGAAAAATTGTCAACAATGACTCTTCCAGCTCCATTTGCAATGGACATACCTCACCATTCTCACTCTCGTTCACTTTTTCTACACCGCACTCACTCTCATTTTCACCATTATCTTCTTCACCATGAACAACCCCACCATCATTTTCACCAATCATTCCATCTCCTACTCCACAATCATTCTCACCAACCAGTCCATCTCCTACTTCTCCTTTATCTTCACCATTAACTACTGAATCTCCACTTTGACCTTTCATATCATCCACATAAATATGAATGTCTCTAAAAGTACCCACTTTCTCATCCCAAATCTTGTACAAATCCATGTCATCATTTAATAAAAGAAACCAACCACCTGTTCTGACATAAAACCTCATGGGCTTTTTACCCCTCCTCTCTGTGCAACACTAACAAAATCATTAAGACCAACTTGCCCAAAGTCAACATAATCTACAATAACACTCTCACCTCCAATATATGTTGAGATATTTGGCCGAATGTCAAAAATGCCCCCATAATGAACACCAAGAGTAAGAAAGTTACTATTCACGGCTAAAAATAAAGAAAAAACATTTTTCAACACAAGGACCACCAAAAAAACAATGAAAATTTTGTGCAAGATTCTCAAACACAGAGACCACATGAAAACCCTAAATTTTACCAAACTTAAACCCTAATTTCAGAAATTCACTACATTTAAACCCTAATTTTACAAACATAAACCCAAATTTAGGAAATTCACTACATATAAACCCTAGTTTACAAAACTATATCTAATAAAAATTACCGTATCTAGGAGGGGGTAGATGTTCATCTTCATTTGCTCGCAACTTCATCTTGCAGTTAGGAACATCGATTCCAAGAACAATCTTCTAAAACACTCCCAAATCTTGATCTCCTGGTGGCATTTTAGTCGCAGACATCGATTTCGGCCGTCGTCGCTTCATTTCGAAGAAATTTAGGGATTTTCAATTTATGGATTTTGAAATCGGGTTTCTGTTTTACAGTACCTAAATTATGTATTTTATTATTAAGATTTTGGAAAAAAAAAAAATGAAAGTATGTTGAGTGAGATGGCATGTTAAAATGCCACGTAAAACATTATTAAGAAAATCAGGTAGTTATCCTTCCACGTCAAAATTATATCCTTCCATGTCGTTACAATCCGTGTTCACGTCATTTGGTTATCCGGCTCTCGGGATTAATGTACTAATTCTGATGAAAATGGTAACATAATGGACCAATTTTGATGCGTGGAAAGATAGTGGACCAAAACTGAAAAATGAACAAGTTAGCGGACCAAAATTAAATTTTTACCCAAAAGAGAATATACAATAAACTACATCTACAAAAAATGAAAATACCCATGAAAAATTGTAAATAACCAACATGCGAAGCCAAACCAGAGTTGAACACGAGTGTTTCGTTTGTGAAGTAAAGACTGTTTTTCACTATGATGATGTCTGATTGTTTCGTGGCTTAAAATAACTTAGCTGTATTATACGGCTTATTATTTAAACGTGATGATGAAACATGAACGTTCCAAGTGTGACATTCCAAACCACACTTTGTCTTCAATAAATAGCACGTCACTAGGCAATAATTAGAGCATCTTACAATTTAAAATTGAGAAATGGTATCTTGTTAACCCAGTTGTATACTAAATTGACAACACAAGTAAAAAATATTCACAAAAATAAATATAAAAATACACAAGTGAATGTTTCTACTTGTATTGTCAAGCTAGTTGTATACTAAGTTGGCTACGTATCATTTTTCTTTAAAATTAGCCACAATAATGCACAATTAAAGCCCACTAATTAATGACCTGCTTATATAAAGAAAAAATAGTTAATCTCCTACTATTATGGTGAACGGCTGAACGCAGGTCATTACAAAATTGCCTGTTTTTATCCGTTAACTTTGAGCGACAATTCCCTTCAATCTTGGATACAAATTAATAGATGCGCTTTGCACCTCTCGAATCAATTTCTAATTAACTGCAAACTGATTTTGTATTTGTGAACTCTGAGACTTGCAAAAGCATCGGGAGAAATTTTCGATCTGTGAACTTCGACACTCAAGTCGGTTCAATTATCTCTCAAAAGTACATTAATTTCACGTGAATATACGCGTTAGAATAATTAATAAGATCTTCTATACATGTTAATATATTTATATAGATAAATTACATTACATTACATTATGATCTCATGGCGAGATTACATTCTTGAGGATGCAAAATGGATCGATCAGTTCGACCACCTCCCGACATTCGGCTGAGTTGTCGAGCAAATCGACTTCTATTATTCCTAATCAACTTATAGCATAAGTATTTAGAGCTCGTTTACTATTCATGGGGTGATAAGACTAATTAATCACCGGGTCAATTATTCTAATATTTACATGAAATTAGCTTTTCATTTACCCAAATTGGATATGTAGCCTATCATGTAATTCTTTTGCTTGAAAATATATATGACAATAATATCATTTTTATTTCAGCTTAAAAGCCCTACAAATGTTGGGAGCAATAAGGACTTTCATTCAAATTCAAAGAACATGGGACAAAGATATATCAACCCCAACACCTAGGATATAATTATCAAATGTATGCGTGATTTGTATATTGTCCAACATTTAGTCCCAAGCAAATATCTAGATAAAGAAAAATTAGACATGAAGGATATCTACCTATAGCTATATATCCTATGATAACTAGCCAAGTAAACAAGGCCTGAAGACTAATTATATCCAAATAATTTTGTTTTTGTTTTTGGTATGTTTGTATTTTTGTTAAAAAAAAAAACAAAGAGGTGAGAATGGCCTTTTTTGTGTGTGGTTTTCATTATTATGCATAAAATGCTTATAAAAAATTANATTGAAAAGAGTAGCTTAAGACACACTGCACAAAAGTACTATTGGACATTCAACTTAATTTTTGATATGTTTATATATAGAAAAACATTCCTTTTTGGTTCAAACAGCTAAAGAAAGTCCAAAAGTGCAATGTATATATAAGTCTTACATGCAAAGATAAAGATTTTGGCTGCACCATTTTCTCGTAAGGCTGGTAAACTTTAATTATAGGAAAAATATTACTTTTTACCTAAAGTTTTACAAATCTTGTTTACTGTCATGCCTTCACATGCCTACGTGAATTTAAAAAAATAAAAAAAAATAACAGAGATTAAAGAGAAGAAATATAGTGAATACCAATCTAGACAAATTATTTTACTGATGGAACAGTTTTACTTTAACCATCAATTATGGTTTAAGTCATAGATAATATCAATTTGATCTGATTTGTTTGTGTTTGGTTTGGTTTGAAAGATGACAAAAGTGGGCTTATTCAAGACAATCTATTTTGGATGATTTCATCTGCCTTTGAATTATTTGTCCCATTCACGATATTTTTTAAATTGGATAATGGATGTTTAATTAGGTAGGACTTTCTGTAAAAAAAAAATTCATTATATCTTTATTGGGTACAGTGGCTACAATGCCCCCTTGGTGTCAATTATTTTTTTCAAAATCAAAATAGAGTAAATTATATATTTTTTTTAATTTGATTTCCTATAAAATAATGGAGCACTAAAAATGGGTGCTATTTGCCCTGTCGTAAGGCAATATATCATGGGAGTGTGTTGTAAAAACTTTGAGTGAAAGTGACTTTTTTTTTTTTGGGTTAAAGAAATGAAAAACACCATGAATTAGTAGATGTCTGTGTGTCCTTTGATGAAAATTGGAAGCTACACAAATTAGAATGAAGTGTTTTTGTGGTTAACATTACTAAATATTTTAAAGAATCCTACAGATTAAAACAATCAATCCAGAAATGAAAATGATTAGAGATGTGAATCACTACCCAAGTCAGAAAAGTGCTCCTCATCTGCTCTTTGGTCTCTAATTAAATTGCAGTTGGATTTTTTTAAAGCTTTTTTCTTCTCTCAACCAAAAGTTTTTGCTTTATCCTTGCGAGAAATCCCAAAGATACAAGATTCATTTTTTTTTTTTAGATATTTGAAAAATAAAAGTACCCATTTCAAGAATATCAATGGTATAAAAGTAACAATTGAAATAAAGAATGCAAGTAGTAGTTGTCTTGCACAGTTGCACTGTTGCTGGTGTGGTGGTGAGGATAATTAAGTAAATCAAATAAATATTAGCTTTATAGAGTTTATAAAAATAATCAGTAGGCCTATTTTTATATATTTTTTGGTTTTTCTGGGTCCTCTCTTGTTCCAGGGCTTTTTTAGGAGATGAGGACTCCAAAGTTCGCTGTCATTTCGGATTCGTATAGCATTGCAAGTCAAGAAAGAATAGAAATAAACATGGGATTCTTATCCAATACAAAAGGGCTTGTCTGAATCTACTATTTTTGGCACTGTTCTTTTTCTTCCAGGTATCTCTCCCTCTCTTCAAAGCGCTGACCTTTTGATATCATGTACGAATTATTTTCTCCCTTTTGATTGTGTGTTAGTGAGGGTGTTTATTTCTATGGTGATCTGCAACGTCGCCTGGTGTTCTTTTTATACCTGGGCAAAAGGGCTTATGATGAGTTTCAAGTTGAAGTATTTTAGTTGCCCTTAGTCTTTAGATTTTATCAAGAACCAGTCTAGGTTTTTGATTTACAGAGGATGTAAATGGACAAACTTTGAGGTTGTTACAATTGATCTTGCTGGTCTTATAATGTTGCCCAGTTAAGATTTTCTGCAGAAATTTGTCTTTTTTTTTAATTTATTGTTTTTTTTTTTTTAAGTTTCCATCTTGAGAAATGTTTCCTTTATTGTCGAATACCAATTTAGTTAGTGCCTCAGATATGGTCTTTAGCTTAAATTTCAGTTGAAGTTTACCTAATTATTAGTTATAGAATTTTGGCTTCTCAAAAGTGAGTGTTCCTATAAGCTATTTTTTTTTTTCCATTTTTAATTTTTGAGAAAATACATTAAACGCTTGACTATCGTCTGATTCTCAATCGTTGAAGTATTTTAGAATGCCAAGTAGTTGCATTTGAGAAGATTTTGATTGGAAAATTTCCTTTTTCTTGTCATGAAATACCAACCTTTGTGATTCAAATGCTCCCTAACCTCCTTGGTCCTATGCTCATGTAGCTAATGTCGAAATCAAATTTTGGGGTAATGATAGATAAGATTAAGATTCAGGAATTAAAGCATCTAAATTCTAAGCTGTAATGGTCATGGAACCAGATAAAGATGATGGTTGGCTCTTTGGTTAAAATCTCTAGATTAGGTCATAATAATCATTTAGAAATAATAAAGAGTTCAAAGTGCTTCTTATAGAAACACATAATTACACTTTGAGCAGTGAATCACAGTTTTTTGTCTGCCAAAACTGTTTAAGCTGCTTAAGTACTAAGCATAACCATCAATTTCTTTTCTCTTTCCCTTCCATTGGTTCATTCCTGCATCCATTTGAACCAGGTAAAAATAACCTATCGAACAAAAGAGCTCCATGTTCGCAGTTTAAGATCAAAGCTTTTGATTTCACTTGGTGCCAACAAGAGTAGGAAAGAGAAATAAAAAAAGGAAAAAAATCAAAATATATATCTTACACGATGCAGAGCCTGTCGAGTAATAAACACCATGATCAAACAATGGGGCATTCATACCCAACCTCGTACGATGGCCACTTATCTCTTTGGTTTCCCACCAAACATCCGGAGTTTTCTGAACCAAACTTTGTTGGCACTAAGCTTGAATCGAAAGCTGAATACAATCGCCATGTGGAATACATATCAGAGTCTGGGTATCGAGAAAAGGATCTATGCTCGTCTGTGTCAACTGGTCAGTCTAATTTTGAAGCTCCCCCTTCGGTAAAAAGCAGCTTTCCTGAGCACAATGTCGCATTTCAGCCTGGTAAAATTATTATTATGATGCCTTCTTTATTCTATTTGTTCGTTTTTTTACTTTTCTTTGCGAGTTTTTTTCTTTCTTTATATTATTTTAGATTCTCTTCGGCACAGCTGATTTCAAAAAAAAAAAAATGTAGTCTTTATTGAAGGACATGAATCGAGTATGTATTTCATGCTTCTACTGCTCATTAGAAATTGGAGTTGGTATTATGGTGAAATTATGTAGATGGCTCCCATATCTAGAAAAACATGCCATAAATAAAGCTGTCCATTGCAATGTGGTACTCTGTTGTATTAGTCATGAGATGTATCTTTTCCTTTTTTCTGGTTGTACATAGGTTTCCTTGGAACTTGTAAGAAGAAAGCGGATTTGCCATACGGTGGCACGGATTACATCTACCATCAAGTTCAAATGGAGCATCATAATCAGTCAATGGTTGGTTAACAAAATTTTATTTAACTAGTTGAAGTGGCCACTTGAAAATCATTTTGCTGATATTGTTAAGTACACTATTTTTCGCTCGTAGGACTGCACATCTTACCCTTTTGGTGGATCATATTTTGGAAAGATAACATCTGTGTACGATCCAAATCCTGTTGTAAGTGCCAAACCACTTCCTCTCATCTTTTCGTACACGACTAACCTGATTCTATATGGTAGAATGCTTCTATCGAGTAACTTTGATGGTAAAAATTCAATTTCGAGACATGTGCACATTGTTTTGTATTTTTTATCAGATTTATCCTCAAGTGATGGCATCTGCAGCAGCAAGAGCCGTGCTTCCTCTCGATTGTACCGAAAGTGTGGGCCCCATTTATGTCAACGCCAAACAGTACCACGCCATCCTCAGGCGCCGACAAACCCGAGCAAGACTGGAGGCTCAGAATAAGATGACGAAATCTAGAAAGGTACTCAAAACTCAAAAACCTCTGTTATTAAATCAAAATCTCGAGAGCATTTTTTTAACAACAATCATCATCCCTGGTGTTGTGATTTACTACAGCCCTACCTTCACGAGTCCCGTCATCTACACGCGCTCAAGAGAGCCCGTGGCTCGGGCGGCCGCTTTCTCAACACGAAAAACGAGCAGGTATCGAAACCCACATCGTCCCAACATGAAGCAGCCCAGCAGCAGTCGGAGAACAACAGCTGGGGGGCCTCCACTCACTCGGGCTCCTCAGAGGTCTCGTGCATCTTCAACAACGACGACATCTTCCCGACGATCGACTCTCTCTCTTCCTTGCACGGTTGAAAATGTTAACCGGCACCTCATCCTTGGCTAATTTTTGTATTGCTTGTTTTTTGTGGTATTGGAGTTATGTTGTATTGTAGCTTTTCTTAGCTTTATTTTTTCTTCTTGGATTCAACAAATGAACTCGTGATTTGCAGCTATGCTCCAGTTTAGTTTTCTATATGGTGAACGGTATTGGATGTTCTTTACTCTGTAATGCATGTAAGTTCCTGTATCTGTGCGCGTGTATGTTTTGCGCTCGTAAGTCCATGTCTGCTCAATTTATGCTACCATGAAAATAAAACCACGAGTGTGTGTGCGTGTGATCTAATGGCTCATGGCTCAGAGGAAGATGGATTGTGAGAGAGAGAGAGAGAGAGAGAGAGAGAGAGAGAGAGAGAATCACTTGCAGCCATGCCTGCATTGAAAAACATTAGCTTGAAAAGAGGCAATACATAAAGAAACTGGCAAATTTGAAATCATACTTGGAAATTTCAAATGCTCATTGATAGCAGTGCAAACTTGAAAGTTGAAACATGATAAAGAGAAGGCAAGAGAAGAGTTACATGCATTTCTACACTTTTTACAAATCTACACTGGTCAACAAAACCAGAACTCAAACACAAACTAAACCTAAACAGGGGGGTGTCTCAAGTCTCAACACAAACAAAACAACCTCATGACAATTCATCCCCTTCTCAACACTTCCCTTCCTCTCCTCAAAACCCTCATCCAAAAAAACACACTCAACCAACCTCAAACTCACACAACAAACCCTTCCTGTCTCTTAGTCGACAGCCGCTTGAGAAACTCGTACGTCGTGATCATCGTCGTGGCCGACATTGACATTGAGGCCCACCTAGGCCCGAGCCCCCTGTAGCAGGCCCCGAGCCCACCCTCCCGAACCAAATCCCTCACTGTCTGAATGATCGTCCCGCCACGTGGGCTTTTTTCAACCCCACTGTCCAAAACCTGCAGCCTCGTCTTAATCGTGTCGAGTGGCATAGTCACCAGTGCCGATACCCCGCTGGCCATGGCAGCACTCAGCCCCTGCACCGCCACCAAAGCCTTCCCATCCGGCCTATACCCATTGTTCTCCGTCTTCCTACACAAGTTACACCCCATCGTCCCCCAAATCACCCTGTGAGCAATCGAATAGGAAGCCCACCACACGGCATTTGAGGGCGCGTACGTCAAAATCGATATCCCAAAGCCACGGTACAATCCCCGGATTCCATCGGCCTTCACAATCTTCCTAAATGCATCTATACCTCCATCATACCTTCTGAGCCCAACCGAGCAGGAGCCCAAGCTTCCACCTTGCACCATCAGCCTTTGGCTAACGACATCGATTGGAGTCCACACCAGCTGGGCAGCTATGGCGGCACTAAGCCCAGCAGCAGCATTGGCTATGGCAGACGAGGAGGCCTCAGATAGGCCCAAGTGGCTGCTAGCTATGTTTCCCACATTGCTCTTGGTGACCTCGAGGGCGCCCATGTAAAGGGCTCGAGCTGGTATGGTCCCCGTGAGGGAGGTCCCGAAACCCCGGTAGAAGCCTCTGGGGCCCTCGTTCTTCAGGATGGCCGAAGCCATTTTGAGGCAGGACGAGTCTTGCAGGATCACCTGCTGGCGGGTTTTGAGGACGACGATAGGGTAAAGGGTCCAGGAGACGCCCGAGAAGAGGGCGGCACCCAGAAGGAAGAACTTTGATTTGTCGAGCATTTCCCAGTTGACGTCGGCAGGAAGATGGATTTCAGGTGCTGAATCATCTTCTGCTGCACTCAAGCTCATCTTCGCCACTTTTCCTATCTTTTTCTTCCCCCCTTCAAAAATGAGAGCAAAACCCAGAAACAATATCTATTCCCAGGTCAAAAAAAGAGAAATCCTGAAAACCCCAAAATCTATAGGAAAACAAAAGAGAAGAAACTTGGGAACGGAAAGAATAAACAGTGGATGATTCTCCGAATCAAACGCCAAATCCAAAAAACGAAAAAACAGACCTAATTCCCCATATCATCCAAACGATGACTCGAGCTCAAATTACAGACAAAAACCTAATTCCAAACATCAAAACAGGGGGCAAGCAATCATTCATCTTTTTTTGCGTTTGCGCAAACAGATTACAGAGCGAACATGAGTCAGCACAAAGAGATCCAGCATTCCCTCACCGGAAAATCCGAGCTGGCGGCGATTATCTACGCATGGCTTTCCATCTTTTGCGGATAAGGAAGATCGGAAAAAGGTTGGAGGAGCAACTGAAAATTGGAAAGAAAGAAAAAAAGTGTAAAAACCAAAGTGTGTGTTTGTGTGTGTGGGCGAAGGGCTGATGGATTTGGTTTTGGTGGGGTGGGTTTGATCGAGGGTTTTGCGGATCGGGAGTGTGGGGACACGTGTCGGTCATCGCATCGAGAACCTCTTTACTGGGTTGGGGATTCTGTGTGGGCGGGTGCATCGGGATTGATGTGGGGCTTCGGGCGGCTGATGGGATTGGTGGCAAAGCGTGGGTGGGCAATGGTTTATAAGTCCAAACTCAAAAAATTCAATCATTTTTAACTCAATAATTTTTTTAACTCAACTTTAATTCAACCCTACTATCATCAATATTATCAATATAATTAAATAATACTATCAATCAATCATTCTTACACACAACATCAACCTTAATTCAATATTCATTTAACTAAACCATCATATCACATCTTCTCTCTCCTACTTTTCTATTAATTTAATTTTAATTATTTTATTTTAAATATTATTTTAATATATCTACTAACAACTAACCATACCAATTTTTTCAAATTTAACTAAACCATACCAAAAATCCAATCCAAATAAAAACTTTTTATATCCAATTATGCTCTTAGTTTTATATTTTGTTCTGTTTGGCAATGCTACAAAATTGATGCCGTAATTATTGGGGTAATTGAGAAATAATTGAATTTTAATTATTCGTGTCACACATGTACAAATTTTAATTCTTACTAGTGATCAACCAACACTGTTGAGCTCGAGCTTCATCCACTTACTTAACTAAAGAGTTGAATTTGTTTAAACTCAAGAATTTTATATGATTTTTTATAGTATTGTTGTTAGATTTTAGTTTATGAAACATCGAACTCGAGCCGATAATATTAATAAACGAACTGTATTCAAATTCATTTAAAGGATCGAGCTCTACTTAATAAAGATTTGGAATTGATCTCGAGTATCAAAAAATCGAACTGTTTGACTCGAGTACACTTCTATTCCATATATAGTCCATTTGTCTTTTGATACAGTCAAGATTTGGATGTAATCAAAGTCAGGTTTCTATGGAAAAAAA